TCATCTATAAGAGCTAGAGAAAATTTTTTTGTCCGTGTATAGCACGCGCACGTCAAGTTTGTTTCAAATATTCGATAACTATTCGCATTTAATTGTTATCGAATAAAAACATGATTGAAATGCAGTTAATAAATTATATCTCAAACGTCTTGAGAGCCTTCAAATTTTGTATTTAGTTTTATGTATATTTTATGCAATTTTGATTATTGTTGGATTTTGGATACCGGCTCCAAATTTCCCAAAATTATTAAAATTTAAGTTTAGTTGGAACTGGGGCAATTATGTGAAAGAGTTTGCATCTCAACCAAGCCAATAGGATATGTAGATCATATGCTGAAAATTCCATTAAAATCCATTAAGTAAAAAAGAAGTTATTATCAGCAGCGCCACGCGCACGCATTTTTCCTATGCGTGTACACACATACATTCAAATGCGTGTATTCTTTTCTATTCTAAGAATCGAAATTGCTATTGAATTCTGCTTGAATTATCAGTTGCTACTCAACTTCAAATTTGCAACTCCTCTTGCAAGAGGTAAAGTGGCTGCGTTGGTAGAGGCGTCGCTCGTATACGGAAGCGCCCAGGGTTCGAGACCGACGGATACGAATTATATCTTATTGTTTTATTTTTTTTTTATTATGAAGTGACGGTGTTGGTAGAGTTGGTGCACGTTGCGCAGACAATCCGGGTTCGAATCCTGGTCTCGCAATGTCGTTTTTTATTTGTTTTCTTATTTTTTGAATATTCGATACGAACTACGGAAAATATTAAACTCAGAGGACTGGGATCAGGGTATCTCCTAGTCGGCACCCGACTAGAGCTATCTTACTTGTTTTTCTTAAGCTTGTATTAATTATTTTACTTATATATTTTTTTTATAAATTTTTTTTAAAATTTACTTTAACCTAATCACTAATTTTCTTTCTCTTACAAAACTATTGTTGGTGCGTGCTCCATCTCCGATGATGCCAAATTTATCCCTTTTGGTATCTCCTACTTGCGGTTCGGCTGTTCTTACGTTATTCCAAGTTGTGCTCTGCGAACGGATCATACAAAGCGTGAGCCCACGTTGCACAAACTATGGCTGCTATCTGGTTTTGACCTTTTCGTGTCAATTATTGATTAAACGCACTTAGAAACGTTTTGTTCTGTCGTGGTTTATTCGTGGTCGATTCGCGTACTTAGATGACTTTTTTCACGGTTGTATTCGCGATCGGTCCCTGCTCGGGCGCCAGTTAAAATAAAAAATCCTGAATTTTATTTTTACATGTGATCAGGTTGATCCCAGATTTTAGACTGATTTATTCTTAAGATGATTGTACCCTAGCTAGCTAAAGTCCGAGTTGACATTGTCTGCATTCAGCGGCTGGTTCTTGAACTACGGTAGTTTCGCGCTACTGCAGCGGTTCTTGATCAAGAACTTCGGTACTTTCGCGCTCTTGCAGCGGTTCTTGATCGAAGAGAGAGTTTAGCGCCAAATTTGTTAGGAATTGCAAGCTGCGGAATTTTGTAACAACTTTGTTGTTATCTTGTCATTTTGTTGTTTGGATAATTCATCGGATTCAGTTCATAATTCATCGGATTCAGTTCATAATAGTTCCATTCCAATTATTCCAAAATCGCTTTATATGTGGCTTGATAAGATAATCCGTAATCGTGGGCAAGTTTATGGGAAATCTATTGCTTGTGATAAATTAAAAAAATTAAAATTACGGTGTTCATTACTTTATTATAAGTCCCCTAATATTTTGGATTTTGAGAACAGAAAATAAAGTAAGTAATAAGTATATAACAGCCAAAATGTTAGTCACTACAGGCAATATATTATATTTTCAACAAATTACTATACACTTTGAAACTGTGAGACTGTGAGTTTCTGACCTTGACGTCATATTCTCTTTTTCTTCAATAAATCGTCTGCCCACCCATCCAATCAAAAATTAGTTTTTTGTTTTTGTTTTCTTTCAATAATAGTTCTTTATTTTTCAATATGCGCCTAGTTCTATTATTATTATGTTTCGATTATTTCTCTCTTCATTATATATATATATGGTATATATAAATAAATGTTATTGTTCATTGCGTGTTTTATTATTATTATTATTTATTTATATTATTGTTTGCTCTTTATGCGATTTTTTATTTCGATTGTTTGTTTTTGTTGTATTCAAATTGCTTGTAAAAGAAATGCTTATGAAATTTATTAAACAATAGTCTCATCAAAGCCAATTGTAAAAAAATGGGTGTGTGTGTGTGCAGGTGTTCATTACATTATTCATACCTCGACTGCATACACATGCATATGTATTTGTGTATTTATGTAACAACAGAAGGAGATGTTCAACATGAAGCGTGTGTATAAAATGGATATTATGTATTAATTTGTATTAACTCTTTTCTGTATTCTTATAATGTTCTAACTGCTGCTTCTTTGAGGCATATTCTTTAGCTATGCGCGGCTTAATTTAGTACTCAATGACTTACTTATGTTGTATTTATTTTCTCTTCCTTTATCTTTTCCTTTTCCTTTGCATTTGTGTGTTTTAAAAAATGATTTCAATTAGCTTAACTATCAAAAATTATATGCATTTTCCATCTATTTCGTTTCAACTTATTTACAGTTTCTTTTATGTATATTTATATATATGTATGTATGTAACATGTATTTGCTTTATTGTTTTTCTCTTAACTATGAACATTTTGATAATATCATTAGCATCTGAACTTATCAAGTTGGTTTGTATTCAATTCTAAGTTTATCGGCATTACATTTATCTAAATGAATATATCAAAAACCATGAAATTGCCAGTTCCCATACCAATTGTAGCGCCAATTCTCAGATTACTTAATGTTAACAATTCAACATCCCATTCAGTCAACTGTGACTCAACTCGAATATCAAGAGTTGCTTAGGCATTGTCATAGGCATCGTCTAGTAAATGGGGCGCAGTAGTTTTTTTCCAGTTTCTTTTATGAAAACATATTTGAACAGCAATGCTAAATAAAATGGCGTATTTTGAAAACTTAAGTTTTCATTTTTTAGAAATTATATTGTCAAGCACGATTTCGTATAGTGTATGATTAATGGCATATTGGCGGAATATGTGATTAAAGTTCCAATGACTATACATAGCTAAGAAGGACAGCTTTTGCACAGAAACCAATTGGAGAAGCTTTGAAAGCATATTAAAACCATACATTTTACATGAAACAGTTGTAGTCCTTCAGTCAAAGTTAATAGTTAATTATGAAAGATTTTAAACACAAGTCGAAGAACGAGGCTTTGGAAGTCATAAAGTCCAAATACAATGGTTGTCTTCCAAGTTTAAATATAGTAGTTGTAAATAAAAACTTTCAAAGGGAAAGTAAATAAAAAGTGATATATTTATATATTGCAAGCTTACAGCAGCAGATTAAAGCTTTAGCTCAGAAAGTGATCAAAGAGTTTTTTGTTTAAAAATTGTTTATAAAATAAATTGTGAAAGTTAAAATGGATATATGCCAGTATTAAAGATTAACATTGAACAGATATAAATAAAAGACTTTTAACAGAAACAGTTTCCAGGAGCTTTGAAACATAAAAGATTCATCAAATAAAAACTGTCGATAAATAAAAGGGTAAAAGCTTTTAAACAGAAAAAGTTACTAAGCTGAAGGAATGTTTTAATAAGCTTTAATGACACTCTTACTAAGCTCTAATGACACTAGCTGAAAAGCTGAAAGTTGGAAATAAAAATTGAAGAAATAGTCTACGAGAAAAATACTTAAAGCGTTTTCTGATGCTTTTTAAAAACCAATAAAATTGCAAACAAATTTTAAAAAAATGTATACTAAAACTGTTGTTCCATGAATCCATGAATAATTTGTCAAATATGAAAATATTTTATGCAAAATATGTAAAAAATTGTTTATGAAAACGATTCCAATTGAAAAGAAATTGTGTGACGTTGAAAGCAGTTTGATTTATGCCTACCATGAAATATATATGAAATAAACAGTTCCGATTTCCTTACCAAACTTGGGGCACTTTGTGAAGGGCTCATTACACATTAACTACTAAATATTTCTGCTATTATAAAATGAACAATACATAACTATGTATATATAACAACAACGAACAGTGCTGTGCGCTCGTAATATTTGAATATTTGAATCTAAAATATATATTCAGAGCATTCATTGAACATTTGGAACATAAACAAAATGAATGCATAAATAAATATTTCCATGCGCTTTTCATTAATTTTGATGATGAGTGAAATTAATTTGAAATTTGAGTTTGAATTTGAATTTTTGGAGGTTTTCAATTTATTTGTTGCTATTAATTTGTCTAGTTTTAGCTTGACGTTTGCATCCGTTTTATATGTGTTTTACAAACTTATTTATAAACTATGCAAAAATTTTACATCTAATTTCCCATTTTGTTTTTAATTCTTCTTTTATTCTTCATTTTTCAGCAGTACAAAAATTATTCATTGCATTTAATTCATTTGGTTTTTATTTGTGTTTTTTTTTGTTTTTCTTTCATATAACTAAATATACATTTTCGGTACACATTGCAAATATTTTCCCTCGCTTTAACATACACCAGCTACAGATTTCATCATAGATTAAATATTTCTAGCAAACGCAGTCCCAATTCTTATGCTGCTCGCTGCCGTCCATTCATCATTTACGATATTGCATTGCCATACTTGAGTACATATAAATCCATTTATATATATATATATATATATATATGTATATTTATGTATATATATATATATATATATATATATATTTATATATGTATATTAAATAACCTATGCTTAAGACTAGTTTCTGTTTGTTTTTCTCTTGTTGTTGCTTCTGCCAGGTTTAAAAATCATTTACGCTAAAAAGTAACTAAATGTAATCAATCTTAGGAATTATTCAGTTGGATCAATTATTATTATTATTCATGTTCTTATGTTACATATATATAAATATATATATATATATATATATATGTATGTGTGTGTGTAGCATATATTTGGTTTGTTTTGCTAAAACTTTTCAGTGTAGTTTACCGACGGCCGTGTTTCTGGCCCCGGTTCTGGCCATGGTCTTGGCCATGGCTTTTGGGCTTCTTGAATTCAGTTAGCTAGACTTGATTGACACTATGTTGGAAGAACAAATAGATTATCCGTAGTTAGTTCCGCAGTGATGATTAGCTTCTGCTAGAAATCGCTACTCGTCGATGGATTCCCTAAATTGCTCTCCACAGTGTCGTCCTTGTGTCAGAGAGGCGGCTTATACACTTCAATAGCTGGCGTGAGCATGTCCACGCGCGTTGATATCGAAGTATCACTGAAAATAAAATAATTACATATATTATATTAGTTATATACATAAACTATGCAGAAGCTTAAATTCACTTCTTCAAACTGCTATTTAAATTCTGGAAATGTTTTACTTTCCTTTTACACTCTTTACACCTTTTTTTCACCTGGCAAATGCAGCTAGGAAACGGAACTGCAGTTCAGATTCAAAGCATTTCCACTTGGCTTACAAATTTCTTGCTCTCATGTAGTCGAAGCCAATCTGAAGCAATTCATGAAAATAAAAGTCGCTCAATTGTTCTCGGAAATCGCATTGCGTTCGAGAGATTTTACCACAGAGCTTCTGAGCGGATATGATTGAATTATGCTAAAAAAAACTTTTATGGAAACAAAATTTCAATAACTTTGTTTTCAATCACAAAGTTCGGCGCGTGTGTAAAGTTGTGAAACACATCAAAGACGGCGACTGTTTAATACGATGCGCATTGAAAGTGCATAAAAAGTAACGGAAAACCGTTGAATAAACTTTATTGAAAAATAAATGGACATCAAAGTGATAGACTGGCAGATACTCTGTACTTAGAGTTGAGAGATGTAGTCAAATGTTTTTCTATAAAGGTATGTAGCAGAACTAGTTTAAAGCGGGCTTGGATTGGAAGATATAACATTGAGATGACGTCTATAGATTACTCCATAATTTATTGTATATTTATTCTTTAACTAAATATAACAAATAATCTATCGGCATCTATATCTACTATGTTGTGCATCTAAATACCATGAGGACATTGGCTATTGATGCAAACAAATTGTAATTTGTAATACATATTTACGTTATATATGAGTAGTATAGCCATAATACCCTGCTCTATTCGCTTTCAATAGGTACAAAGTGAAAAGGAAGTGAGGGGAAAGAAACGAGAAAAGGTCAGCTTGAATAAGCTTTGACAAGCTGACTGACTTGGCGCTTGCCAGATATTCAGCTCAAATTCAGTGAGGTATAAATCGATACTTATCGATTTCATAGATGTAAAGTAATCCGAAAAATATTCACATTCCGCGCTTAACAAGTCTGGCTTTTGTATTAGCATGGGATCTGGCAGACAGACTCGCTATTGATGCTGATCACTTGTATATGAATATCTATTATGATTGATACATCATATATTATGATTGATATCATATATATATTGTATACATACAAACTATATCAAGGTATATCCATCATAATACCCCTCATTATTCACTTTCAATGGGTACATTGTGAAAAGGGAATGAAGAAAGATGGCGCAAGGAATGTGCTCCAGGCATAAAAAGAAGTCAGCATGAATAAACTTTGACTGGCTGCAAGTCGCAGATATTCAGTGCAAATCCAGTGAAGAAGACGGAAAATACTGTGAATGAAAGATGAATGAGCCGAAGGAAGGCCAGGACACAACGGGTCTGGGCATGTGCAATGCGAAAACATTTCGAACAGCTGCTGCCACATCCTGTTTTTATCAACGTCGCTGCAGTGCGTTATGTATGTGTATGGTATGGCCAGGACACACAGTGAAATGGCAACAGCAGCAGCTCATGACGAGCTTCACTTTGTTTCATTCATTTCATTTCATTTCAGTTCAATTGTTATATTTATTTATTATATTTCTTTGCGCTCTTTGGTTCCATTGTTGTTCGGCAAGTCGCTGCTGGCAGCACCCACAATGGGGTCCTTTGTTAGCTTGGATTTGGTTTCGCTTTTGTAAATGAAATGGAATTAAATGAAATGTACAATTTATTGTATTTAGGGGATTTCGAAGCGGCGAGCGGGCGGCTAGCGGAGAACAAAACCAAAATCGCATTTCCGCTTCCTATTCCAGTACATGTAATATATACGCTGTGTATATGGATGTGTGTGTGTGTGTGTGTGTGTGTGTGTGTGTGTGTGTGTGTGTGTGTTTGTGTGTGTGTGTTTGTGTGTGTGTGTGTGTGTGTGTGTGTGTGTGTGTGTGTGTGTGTGTGTGTGTCTACATGCATAAGCAGTTGTAGCGCACAAGCGGCTTCCTTTATTGGCATTTTATTTTAGTTTTATTTATATTTATTTCTTCGCCATCCCAGCTCGATTCTCTGCATTAGCAGCGCATATTGAATTAAATAGATATCTCGTTTTATTTTGCGGAAGTTATTATGCTATGCGCCCATAAAACAGATATCAGGCACAAAACAAAGCAGGACTTAGCCAAATGCAGACCCCCTAAAGGAACTCGATGCGCATAATGCCACGGACTGTGCACATCTATAGCTTATGGCCAATGAGGTGAACATTTATATAACTTGCTGTTGATTCCGTTCTTTGTAAGCTGATTGATTCCATTTAAGTAAGCTTCAGGGATAACAAAACACTGGCATTTTTAATTAGCAGTAACTAATGGGGCTTTAGACGGTTTTGCCCGACTATGAGCTACCCTGAACTCTAGACTGAGTCATTGTTAGAAACGTACTAATGTATACTTATGCCTACATACACAAGAGTAGACGCAAACCCACACAGTTGCTACACTCACAGGCAAATTCTCTTAGGCCTCTTGCGTGAGTTTCAAGTGGCAAGTTTATCGCCCGAGCTTAATGCTATAACTCTAACTTAGCAAAAATATAACTCTTAACTTGAAATATTGAAATGTTTTAAAAAAATTGAGTAAGCATTATATGCGTATACTTAATCTGCGGAGCTATATACCAAATTCGGTTGACCTAGCTTTTGATATGTATGAAATATTCCAAAACTATTTCAGTTTATTTTGTTGTTTGAAAACTTAAAGACTGACAGACAACTACTACATGCATTAACTAAGCCATTATACCCAACAATTTAATTACAACTCGATTCAACATATCTGTTATTCATCTTTATACTATAAATAGTTGAAGAAGGAAAAGAAATACTTTCCAAAATTCATTTACACATTTTAACGTATTTTTCACTTATTTAATAATAATTTAGTTGTTTGTTTAGAGTTTTAATCATTTTTTCACCTTGCATAATTGAGTTAACAACTTCTGTGTTCTATTATAACGGAATTAGGTAAAGTTTCGAGTTTTGTTTAGTAATTTCAACGTAACAAACGATGGAGGTGGACCGAACACGATGCTGGAACGAACAGCAGGAATGCCTCGATGAAACGCGCGCGCTCCAGCTGGACGGCTGCAAAAGGCGTGCGTCACCTGACAGCCCATAGATAGCGGCTGCAGGTGCTGAATTAAATGTTCAAGTGTTGCACTTAAGTGCAATCAAGTTCAAAGTGGCACTAAGCACAAACAGCTATTGTAAGCTCAACAACTGTTGCCGACCAATCGAAACAATGCAAAAAAATCATGAAAATCTGAAAAGCGAACTCAGGGCAAATCGAGGCTGCTAATCGCGTGTAAATGAAGCCAAACACAAATTCCATTTACTTTGACTGCGCAAACTGAACACGCATCAAATGCTAAAAATTTATTATGAAGTTATTTGACTTCATTGATTGCATCAAACTGCAGCTATTATTGAAAATCAAGTATAAACGTTGACTGTCATGCGCAATCGACTGCATAATAAGAAGAAAATAGATCAACTTATTCCAGAGTCGATGATTTGCCAAGACTTCATTTTGAGGTCTATCTATCTGTCTATCTAAAGAGAAGATTCATTTTGAGATACGTATTCTATATTTATGTTTCATATATATAGTAAGAAGCGTATCAATTTATCGAGAATGTTTAGTTTAATCGGCTTCCTTCATTTTGAGGCATATCTATCAATCCATCTAAAGAGTTGATCAATAGTGATTCTACTAGAAACAGTTGATCTATAAAATGTGTAAAAAGCGCGATGTATATGATTTCCAATTTTCCGATAAATTTATCGAGAAGGTCAACCTTAATCGACTTCCTTCATTTATTTAATATATCTAAAGAGTTGATTAATAGTAATTCACCTAGAGATAGTTGATATTACAAAATGCGCAATGTATATGAATTCCGATTTTCCGAGTAATTTATCGAAAATGTCGACCCTAATCGATTTTCTTAACTGTGAAGTACTTGAGGCAGAACTGTGGGATTTACCTAGGGTCCAAGAGGTTTAACTCTATAAGATGAACATTTTTAAATAAGTAACGAGTAACGAGTACAATTCAAAGTGCGAATGCTCTAGCATTAACAATTCAGTTTAAGCATGAGGAGAGAGCATTCAGCAATTTACAACTACATCCAACGTCAAGCCATCGAGTATAGGGGCAAGAGTAAATGCTCCATGGCAACAGATAGAATAAGTTAGATAGCAATTTTAAATAGAAGGCAAGATATTGTATCTGAATAGAGTAGAGAATAGTATAGAATAGTTTATTATCTAAGATATATACTAATTGCACAGATGAGGGCTTACATAGATAGATTCATATAAAACTCTATGCAGAAACGAATATACTCTCTTCACACTAAATAAGCATGTACATAAATATAGTCTGAACAGTAAGTGACTTATCATTAAGTACTGTGAACACATTTGTTAAGCCTAGTTGCATCTAGCGAAGATTACATCAAAGAGCAATAAATACCAAACGGTAATTAAATATAATGAATGCTTTGTACAGTAAAAGATAATAGTGCTTAAGCTCAGGTAAATAAATAATTTACTGATATGCACACAGCTTTTGATATGAGATGCAGGTGGTCGAGTTAAAAGCTCGTATTATGCGCCGCTTTCTATTAAGTGTTGGCTGGTTTTTGTTACCGATGCTTTGCTGTGGAAAAAGCCGTGTTCCGGGCTCACCGCAAGCTGCAACACCCTTTAGATCCACGTGTGCTTAACTACGTAGCTACACATGTCTGTGGGCTTAGCTCTTTGGGCAGGCCATGAAAAGCGTTTGTGGTAATTTTGTTGGTGCTGCAGTAGCAGCCTCGACTGTTTTCAACTTTAGGGACTTTTGGTTAAATGAAAATTTAATGTGTTAGTTCCGGCCCAACGGTTGGCCACCTGCCTACAGTCGGCCCGTTTTTCGAGCCGAAAGT